GATGAAAGACCATTACAAATTTTTTAAAATCTTATAGTTACTCTTTTGTATATCTAGCTCAAAATATGAATTTTCTAAATATATATTTAACACGTTCCCATCAATGTATTACTATAGCATAAGAACAAGCTATAGTTACCTTTTCTTCTAAGAAGACATATTTCTTGCTTATTTACATTAGCATCAGTAATTTTACAAATTCTAGTATAAAATTCGAGTCCTTTGCGTTTGTTCTAAAACTCCTTTCAGCACTTCACTTGGTCTTTTTTTTTTTTCCAGGTATTAGGAACATCTTAATTTATGCTGTAATTGTGCGCAAAAAGTCTTCACCTAGCCTATCTGATTCTTCTAACAATCCTTTGAAATAGGCACGTCTACTGTTATTTTTAATTGCCAGATTAAGAACTGAAACCAAATAAGAGTTCTGATCCAAACAGACTGGAACCTGGGTCTTCTGATGTGCCTCACTGTATGTGTAACAAATGAGCCTTCTGACAGCTTTGCCTTCTCATAGATGCAATAAGAGTTTTCTGACAGGTTTGCCATATGATATATGTGATAAACTAAGCAATGCAGATTCAGGGAAATTACTGTCGCCTTGTGCAGGTGGTGGGAGGTTTGGATTATTATGTCTTTCATTTTTGTTGAATAACTTCTCACAAATCACCTAACCCATTTTTCCTCAGCTTCTCAAGAGCTAAAAGGGATTCGATCCTTTTATTATTTCATGAAAATATTAGGTTCCAGTTTGAGAAATCATTTTGGTGTTTCAAAAAATAGGTGACTTTTTAAAAATTATTTGTCAGCCTGGAACTCTATCCCTAGTTGTCAAAATAAACCCTGATACCTGCCTTCAAGGAACTCATGTTTGAGCAGAGGAGATAGACATATAATAGATATATAAGTTATATATGTTATTTAACTATAGTGTAATCTAATAATTTTTTCCCTCTTAATTCACTGAATTTTGGCCAATAACACCTTTTATTTAGGATTTTATCTTTATCTGGAACCAGCACAATGCACTGAAGCACAGTGCTTATTCATACACTGCTGTAGAGAATCTTCAGCTGCTTCTGCCCTGCATGTTGTTTGTGACTGGCTGCATGCTTAACCACAGCATATCTAAAGGAATTTAAACTAGCAAGTCAGGACCACAGAGGTTTTTACCTTTATTTCACTTGGGTGGTGGCCTGTGGATTTCTGTCACCTCATGGATTTCTGCTTTTCTGCCCACTGAGAGTCAGAAGGGAAAGCCAGTGCTTAGGGGCATAAGAGAGACCAGGATGCAAAGCCTCCAAGCGGCCTTGATGAACAGGAGTGCAGCACCAAGGTCTGCTCACCAATTTTAAAATATAGTATATGTACCAAAGCAAGATGGATCTGTCTCCAGTTGGGCAGTCAGGCTGATAATCTGAGAGTTCTTCCTATAGAACGTTGAGACCAAACCCTTCACTACATTCTAGAAAGGTTTCTAGATTTATTTTCAGAGGGTTAAAAAAGAAGAATGCTGCCAAAATTCTCAAAAGTGAGAATTAGGCTTAGAAACCAGGATACTGGTATCATTCTGTTTCATACTAACCTGGCTTTTTTCAAGGTGCTATTTTTTGGTATAAATATGCTTTTTTAAAAAACCTCCAAGATTTTTATGTCAGCTTCTCCTTAGATCCTTAAATAAAACACCTTTGCTGTGAAGTTGAACTTAGGAATCACCATCATGCCACATTTACCTGTGTGTGACTTGTAGGGTTGGGTCACTAAGTAGGAAGAAAACATATACACAAAAAACAGGTAATGAATTGAGATGAAAATTGAGTAAAAGTGGGACATCAGCCTCTCACATAGCATTGAAGCTTTGGGTTATCAGTGACAGTCCTGGTTACTTGCTTAACAAAACAGGAAATGGAATATTCTTAGTATGTCTTTGAAGAAAAACCTTCACCCTAGTGACTTACTCTGATTATGATTTATATAATTTTAATTCTTAAGAATTAAACTGAACAGGCCCTTGTCCTCAGATAGAAGCTTTGCCACCTTGCAGTGTGATGACTGCTCTGCCCCCCCACCCCCAGAATGAGCCATAGTCCAGCAGTGGCAAGGCTGCACCAAAGGTGGTCACACAAGAAAGAGCCCCAGAGTGGCAGATTGCTGGCAGAGGGCCACTGGCCCTCCAGTGGTCATCAGCACTGTGTCCCTCCTGATGACCGTCCCCTGGTTGTTTCGGACCCTTATCTTTAAAGTTCTAGTTTTGCCCGAATCTTATTTCCTATTAAGGAAATAAACCTAGATAAGGAACTATTGGACTTGAGCTTTTAGGCCACATGCAAATTTGAGGAAATGGAAAGTCAAATACTCAGACAAGTTCATGATCACTTCAGATGGAAGAAGCTAAAAAAAACTGTCTTTTCCAATAAAGACATGGCACCACCCCACTGGAGATCAGGGGTTGCATGCTTTTAAAGGGCTCTGAATTGCAGCCATCACATTTAAAAATGGAAACATCGGTTCAACCAATGTTTGTTGAAAAAGACGTCAACTAGATCTTATAGGAAAATAAAAATGCATGAAAAACGATCTTTGCCCTTTTAGTTGCTTTTATTCTAGTAGAGAAAATATGACATGTACACAAGTTGTGATAATATAGGCAAAATATAAATGCCATATAAAAACAGGCAGAAGGGGCTTCCCTGGTGGCGCACTGGTTGAGAGTCCGCCTGCCGATGCAGGGGACGTGGGTTCGTGCCCTGGTCCGGGAAGATCCCACATGCCGCGGAGCGGCTGGGCCCGTGAGCCATGGCCGCTGGGCCTGCGCGTCCGGAGCCTGTGCTCCGCAACAGGAGAGGCCACGGCAGTGAGAGGCCCACGTACTGCCAAAAAAAAAAAAAAAAAAAAAAAAAACAGGCAGAAAAAAGGGGAGGGAGAAAATAGTTCTTGCAAGAGACAGAAGAATGCATCATGAAAGAAACCGAGGAGAAAAAATACAGGTTGCATTTTATCTTGTAGAGATTGGTAAGGCAATTGAAAGAGCTGCACAAATGCACACTACAGAGTTCAAGGCATGATGAGCAGTCTCCTTTCAATTTTGTTATTTCTTTTTTAAATAGCTTTGAAGAAGATGCAGATAAATATGCAGAAGAGAATAAAAATCATCCAGAATTCTGCTACCCAGAGAAAAGTTCTTTGAACATCACAGTGTACTTTCTTCCGTTTATCTTTCTACCCGTAGGATTAGATTGGAACAGATTCAAGAGTGGGTTCACTATGCTTGCCTCCTGGAGAGGTGTTGCTGACATTTTTAATGATGCACTCACACTCCCAGCCCAGTGCACTTTTTCATATGCCAATGTTCCTTTGATAAGCAAGACAGCAAACCTCTATGGAGCCTGTGTAAATCAGACCATGTGCCTGTAGATGCCTCATACTCTGAGTTGAATTCAAGGCTGAATCCAAACTAAGATGTGTGGCTCCTAGAAGGAGGTCATCACAGATCTATCCATTTCCTGTTCAAGAACCAACGAACAAATAGATGTGTGGGTCTATGTACCCACACATACGTTACGTTTCAGTAACGTAAATACTTTTTGACTTGACGTACTATTTTTTGTCCAAAAATAGAAATTTTTCCATTGTCAAATTTACTATTTATTTTAAAATTCAGATGTTACAGATAAGAATAAAGCAGGGAATTCCCTGGTGGTCAAGTGGTTAGGACTCCACGCTTCCGTTGCAAGGGGCATGGGTTCAAGGAACTAAGGTTCTGCAAGCCGTGTGGCTCAGCCAAAAAACAAACAAACAAAAGAATAAAGTAAAAATTACCTGAAATCACACCATCCAGAGATAACATTTTTTGGCAAATGTTTTCCCAGCCTTTTTGTTTATTTGTTTATTTTCCCCTGTATGTGGATTTTTTTCCCCCAATCCAAAATTATGGTCATTTTTCTGTATCAGTAAATATCAACCAGTACTTTACATTTTGATACAAATTGCTAAAATACTTTTTGCTTTCCTACCACTAGTTATGTCATAGGTGGGTATAATCGGTCTAATTATTTTAGTAAATTTTATTGAAGTATGGCAGAAAAGCACACAGATTATAAATTTACAACCTAATGAACTTTTAAGAGGTAAACATACTTAAAAATCCAGTATCCAGATCAAGAAACAACATCACCAGCACCCCAAGAAACCATCCTCATGCCCCCTTCCAGTCACTTCTTCCCCAGAGGTAACCACTATTCTGTTACCTGTCCAATATGTAATCTTTACTAATCTGATGAGTAAAAAATACCTTGTTTTTGCTTCTAGTTACTTTTATGAAGTTACTAATTAGATTGTTTATAAAAATACATTGTAGGTCCCAGTTTGGGGAGCTTAATCTCCTCCATGAGAGAAATAAGTGGCATCTGTTTAAGGTACAGAACAAAAAATGACTTACCAGAGTTGAAAAGAAGATCAAAGCAAAAATTCTACAGTATGACCTTTTTGATATATTGTTTTCTCAGTAAATATTTGAGTTCCTTTGGGGTAGGCACTATGATTTAAAAAATAAAAAGCATCTGCCTTTCTTTGAAATGGTGAATTTCTGTACCTTCTGCAACTACAGAATATATTCTGTGTGTAAAACACCAGTAAGGCTACTTGGCTAGAAGCTGACCTCTGCTGGAAGCTTCTGTTATGATTTGGAGGAAGGTGTTCTAGTCTTTGGTGGCTGCTAGCCTTTCATTCAGCTCAGTCCTGCCTGCCTCTAGCTTTTCCTTGCAACTTCTCTGTTTTGTTTTGTTTTTTCCTTATGCTATTTTTCTGCCATGATAGCAAATTTTGCTTAACAAAGTGTGAGGTTTTCTGTGTGACAAGATCTTTGTAAACACTCTAGCAACTGACTACTAAAATGAATGCAAAAACAATACACCAGCTTGTATCTCGAATACAAATCGTGAGATTCAGTCCTGGAGCTTAACACCACAGGAGAGGGGGTAACTGGCTGCTCTGTTTCTCTCCAGGAATCGACAAGGAGAATGTTGAACTCTCCCCTACCACTGGGCACTGTAACAGTGGGCGAACTCGTCATGGATCCGCAAGCCAGGTGCAGAAGCAAAGAAGCGCTGGCAGTTTCAAACGTAATAGCATTAAGAAGATCGTGTGAAGCTTTCTTTCTTTCCGTTTTCAAACAGACTTAACGTATACGGGCTCTTCACTAGTGACCCCTCACCACCGTGCTGTGATGCTGCACTTCATGTGTTACAATGAGCCCATCCAGTCTGCCATGTTGCCAGATGATCAACTCTTGGAAGCGTTGCCTAAATTTAATGCTGCTTTTTCCTTTAACTTTTTTTTCTTCTACTTTTGGTTTGTCTGGTTTAAGCAAGTGTTCAGAACAACTGCAAAGAAAGTGGGAGGTCAGGACACTTGAACTGAGAACATCCCAACTGTGAGAGCAGATGATTTCTTGAATACTGCTACTACTGGCCAGCTATGAAAGCCATTTGCACAGAGCTCTGCCTTCTATGTTTTCCCCTTCTTCAACATACAAAGTAAAGTGTTAGTCTTATTTACACACTTTTCAAGATAGAAGTTAATGGGAGGAATAATAATATAACCCCAGTATGTTTAATCTGACTTTTAGCTGTGGACTTTTTTTTACCTTACAAAACTGAAGAACCATAGAGGTCAAGCCTCAGTGACTTCATACCATAAAGCCACAGGCGAGGTACTTTGGGGGGTGGGGGAGGAGGGATTTAGTATTTTGTAGTGAGTTCTTAAGAAATACTAACACTTGAGTATTAGCAATAATTACAGGAAAATAAGCGTAACCACATGTATCTTAACATTACCGAATTAAAGAGATGAGTTCTGAGGCCTTATCCAAACTTAGTCATCCAAGCTAGTTTATATTTTTCTCCAGTTGATTATCTTTTAATCTTTAAATATGCTAAAAGTCGTTTTTTGTTTTTGTAAAAGCCAAAACTATACTAAGTATAGTAATTATACATTTTTCCCCTCCTCTTCTTTCCTAAATAATTCCGAGCAGGGTAATCAGTGAACAAAGTGTTGCAAATTGTTCCTAGGAGGTAATTTCCGTAGATGGTTGCATTAGCTCCATACAAAATGGAATGGTACGTGACTATTAGAGTAGACGATGCTTTTATCTTGTTTAATAATTTTCCCAGAAACATAGAGTGTGGTGTATATTATCAAAAATTTTTTGATGAGATGTATTTTAAATGTCTTGTAATCTTTCCCCTCCAAAAAAGTCAGGAATCTCTTTAGCAAAAACATTTGGTTCTATATGATAGAATTGCATTTAATCACTGTGAAAAGACTGGTCAACCTGCATTATTATGACAATAGGGGACCTTAAGAGTTGCTGCTATACTGAATGGTATGGATTATCATGGCATTGGAATTTCCATAGTAATGCAGATCCAATTTCTTTGTGGTACCTGCAGTGTGCAAAATAATTTGACTTCATTGAATATATTAGTATCTGGATGTTCCAATTTAGGACTAAACCATATTTATTACAAGAAGATATTATCCCCCTATTCCTGGGTTCCCTTTATATGTTAAGGTGTAATGGCTTTGGGAGAGAAGAAGAAACCTAGGGGAGGGGGAGTTTCCTGAAGTGCTATTTCATGAGTGGATTTCAGTAAATTAAATTCCACAGCTAAATCAATGGTACATTTAAATGTTCTGATTTTAATAATATAACACATTTCACATTTATCCACACAGTAACAATGTAATATGTTAATGTAAATAAAATTGCTTTTGATATTCAGAAATAACAAGAATTTAATTTTTTTAATTTGTTTACAGTCCTGGGAAAAGTAAGAACCGTTAGCCAAAATGAAAAACACCTTAGTGTTAATAGTTATTTTGACACTGAATTGTTGGAAAATATTGAAGACAGGTGCAATTAACTAACCTTTTGTTTTTAACTATTGTAGACGCTTCATTAGAATAGAATGTTTATAATAACAGAGCAACTGAGACGATAAGGAATTAAGACTAGAGCTGAGTTTAGAAACAGATCATTAACAGCCCGGTGCCAAGGATACCAAGCTGCTGGTAAGGTCTACGTTCCCCCACACCCCAGAGCTTCTGGGATGGGCATCACAACTTCCTGGCTCCTGGAATAAACGGCAGATGCGAGCCTTTAATCATTTTTGGTTCCATGTTTTTCCCTCTTTGTTGTTGGTTTGGTGCAATGACAGTGGGTAGTGTTATGCTATTTTGCTTCTCCTATCAAAACAGAGGAACTTCCAAAGGTTTACCATTAAAAATATTGATCTTTCCATAAACAAGTTTTCCAAGGTATGCTATGTCTTAAATTTATACGTTATTTCCCTCTAGTGTAATGCATGGATGAATTCACTTGAAGTACCTCATGAAATTAATGATCTGCATTGCACAAATCAAAATTGAGCCGCCTTTGAATTGCAGAAATACTTTTTACCAGTATATCCTGGGAATTTGAAAACTTATTAAGGTTTAAGATTTACCTTGTTTGAAGAACTTCTGCCTTTTGAGGAAAATCCAGCTTTCCAAGAAACTGAAATGCACATGAGATAAATCTCTCACCAGTATGCTTCCTCTGAGAAATGAAATGTTTTTTAGGCCTCATACTTATAACCTGCACAAGAAATTCTGAAGTTCATAGTAGGTTGCCTATTTTGCGTAATTGGACGTAAGTTCTATAAAGTAATTTGTTTGGGGTTTGTGGGTGTTTCCCCTGACTTTTTAAAAAGGAAAACATTAACTCACCATGTTTTTTGGCATGCATGATCTCCCTGTTTTATCACTGCGCTGTCCCAGGGGTGTGCCCTTGTTTGCCAGCACCGAGACCCAGTTCACTAGCTTTGGGGGAAGTGGCAAGTGCTCTGTCCTGCATCCACTCAGCACCTGTCCGTTACTGGGTGCCGGCTCTGTGCTGGTCCTGGGCCAGGGCTGAGGACACCACAGAGAACAGCCAGCTGCCACCCCCATGAACGGATGTCCTGGGGGAGACAGAATGTAAGCCGGCCACCCTCCCTGCTCAGTGGGTTTTAGGGGTTTTCAGTTTTGTTTTGGCTTTTCTGGTTTTTTTGGTTTTGTTTTTACATCCCACCCCCAACCCAGGCGTAATGAGGCATGTCTTATTCAGTGTTATGCAATGGACTTATACAAAAATTCACTCTTAGTGTCAGCCACACAGTTTTTTTTAATGCAGTATATTCATCTGTAAATAGTTTGTGTAAAATTTGACAGAAAAGTATATTTACTACACTGTAAATACCTGTGATGATATATTGTATTATTTTGCTTTTTTGTAAAGCAGTTAGTTGCTGTACATGGATAACAAACAAAAATTTGATTATTCTCGTGTTGGTACTGTTAACTTCTCCCTGCGACTGCGTTACATCATTTAAAGAAAATGCTGTGTATTGTAAACTTACGCTGTATGTGATAACTTCCTCTCTTTTCCATTCAGGCCCAAACTTTGGCAGTTCCCTTGTCTACAACTTCATTAATATTGTAAGCAGTTGTACGCCAGCAGGAGAAATGCTGCCCAACAGACAAAATCTACCATTGTAGGGGAAAACTGTAGAAATCCATTTCAGATCATTGTTGTTCCCGTCCCATTTTCCTCCCTGTGTATGTACTCCTCCCCTTTTTTTTAAGTAAAATGTAAATTCAATCTGCTCTAAGATGTGGGGAGTTATTTAATTTCTTCACATGCATCAGCTCTGTTTTCTCACTTCCCCGCACTCCTCCCTGATCTTTTGAAACATTAAGGCCAGTTCCTTTCTTTTAAGGATGTCTTAGGTTCTCCTCAAACCACCGTCACCACCCCCGCTCCATGGGAAGGACCTTTCTATTTCCAGAACCTCTCTAAACGAAAGGTAAAATAATTTTGGTGAAATGTGTAGGGGAGAAAAAAGTTTCCCTTGAGCCTCCTAGGGTCTCTGGCTGAGTCTGAAAATTAAACTGATTAATAGGAGAAAAGCACACACATTTATTTAATATAAATTTTACATGACACAGGAGCCTTCAAAAAGAGATGAGAAGACCCGAAAATTCAGTTAAGCCTGAGTATTTCTATCCTAGGGTTAACGAAGAGTGAGCATTTGTGTAAAAATCTGATAGGTCAGAGACTATGAGGTAAGTGCGGTGAAGTGGGGGAAACCTAGCAAGGCCTGTCCGAATTTTCGAAGTCCCTCTGTCTTGTCTTCAGAGATAAGGATGCTCCTTTCCTCCGGGGTTAGGGAGGGCGCCTGTCAAGTGAAGGTTTTATGACCTGTTTCCAGGAGAGGACGGCAGGGGAAAGGTCAGAGAAACCTTCCTGCTTCTGCCATTTCCTCAAGCTCCTTCAAGGTGCCATATTTTGAGGTCACATGTCCTGAACCCCATCAAATACTTTCTTAGGGCCTGCCAAACTGAGGGGTGACTCCGTTCTCTGGGTTAAGGTGACTTTAGTTCTTTTAAAATGAGCAGTCAGAAATGCCAGGACACCCCGAGATCAACCAGAGGGCATACATTAGGAGCCCACAATTCCCTCCAGCTCTCAGCTCTCCCCAACAGAACCTTCCCGGGCACAGCATGTGTAAACACTGTCAGACGCTTTCCATGGCTCCACTGCTGGGAGTTTTACCATTTTCTTCACCCCATTATGTGGGCAGCTCCCAGATGGAGAAAGAATGCAGCCTAGACCCTGTGGGCAGGACAGAGCTGATGCATACGAGGGCAACAGCGTCTGGTATGTTAGACAAAGGGCTAAAAACCGTGAAGCAGACACCTGCAGGGCTGAGGCAAGTGCTGGTCTGTTTACGGAAAGACTGAGAAAGCGGAGGAAACTCACCTGGAGAGCTTGCCGGCGCTCTGGGCTCTGGGCCAGACCTCCGAGGCAGAGTGTGCATACTCTCCAGGGGTGGGGTCCTGGGAGGGAGGGAGGGAAAGAAAGAGCCTGTGGGGGGTGTTGGTGTGGCTGTAAAGCTTCAGGTGAGTTCTCTGGGCACCAGGCTTAAAGACCGCTGAAAATTCAAGTACAATTGACCCTTGAACAGTGGAGTTTGAACTGCAAGGGTCCACTTACACACAGATGTTTTTCAGTAGTAAATACTTCTGCTTCACAGTCCGTGGTTGGTTGAATTCAGGGATGCAGAGGGGACCGACTATACATTATATGCCACCTTGTTCAAGGGTCAACGATACTGCAAATAGCTATCTTTCCCCTCCAGGCTGAAGTGTCATAATCAAAGTAGGGATGCCTTTGAATGGTCACCTCTCCATCTCTGGACAGTAAGCTCCTTGAGAACATTGACAATATCATCCACCGTATCATCCACCCTGTGCCCATTTTTGCCTGCACAGTTTTGCTTTCTGGGACAGTCCAGGCCAGTCTGGCAATTTTGAACTGTCTGGCCAGAAAAGTTTATCCCCAGGGGGGTTTGGGTAGGGTGGAAACATGCTGGAAGAATAGTAAAAACTTAACCTACAACAAAGAGGTATCATCGCAGTGTTCCTTTTTCCAGAAAAAAGTAGCCCATCCCTCACCCCCATGCCCCAAGTGGTGGCCAGCATCTGTAACACTTGCCCTCACCCCTCGTTCTCCCTTGATTTCTATCCGTGAAACTTAGCCCGCACGCTGCACGCCAGAACGCACAACGGCATCCAAACTCTCTCAAGGGCAGTTGCCCCGAGTAACATGCCAGGCCTGTCTTCATTAGAGAGTCAGTCTTCTTACTGAAGTAAGTTCCACTTAAGACCCTTTTAGCTGCCAGTTTAAAAGAAGCCGTTTCACAATGTTGATTATGTTTCTGTAAATATTAGGCCACACTACAGCAACGTAGTCCCCGTTTGTTTGAATCTCTCACACTTGGTTCTTTTAAAAGTACTGGCTAATGGTAAGTGGATATTTCATAATGTTAATGTGGAATTGTAATTTTAGTAGATTTGGCTTTTTTTAAAGTACCTTCTAAAAATCCATTTATATCCTGTAATATGTACATATGTACATACACCACATACATGTATATATGCATACTTAAAATTTCCAAAGACGCATCATTTAAATTGGCCCAATTTAAATTGGGCCAAATTTTTCTAGGTCCTTTACCATGTGTTTATGCTGTGAGTCAAGCTAGTCACGATAAAGAGAATCCTGTGGGGTTAGAGTTCAGAACATCCCCCATAGGGGCCACTTCCTCCGTATAAAATAGGAACGTCACATCGGAATCTTAGTAGGGCCCCTTCCTGATCAGAGGTTCAGAGAGCATTCCCCAACTTAAATATGTTTAAACAAAGAAAATGTCAACAGAGGTAACCTCATCTGATTCATTTGTCAAAGAAATGTTTTCAGTTACTACAATTGTGCCAAGCCCTTTGCCAGGCATCGCAGATGCCAAAAAAGAAGAAAGCTTGGTCTCTGCCCTGTGCGAGATCACAATTTAGTGGGGGAAACAGCCACGTAACCAGTGAGCACAGTGTCCAAGGTGTGGACCAGTGACTGGCAGGTTCGATGACTGAGGAGCTGGGTCCTGAAAAATGACCAGGAAGTGTGTCCAGGTGGATATGTCCACTGAGCAGTTGAAAATAGGATTATGGAGTCTTGAATGTATAGGGGGTACCTGAGGCTGGGGGTGACCTGGCCCAGAGAGAATGCATCCGGGCAGAAAGCAGTGCACCAGAGAGGAGACTGGCTCGTTCTGTTCTTATTTTCCTCCTTTCGTCCCACTTTGGGAAATGCGCCCTGATTTTGTACATCTAAAAACTCCATGAAGGCTTGCCTTAGCCCCAGAGAGCAAAAATAAGGGTACTCTCTATCTTTGAGTCTGGCCCAAAGTCAATAGAGGATGAGAAATAGATGGCGAGGGATGCTCCCTCACCAACTTGATAATTTGCGGATGGAAGGCAGAAAGGAATTAGGTCGTGTATGCCTTAAGCAAAAGCAGTACCACCACTCGCCATATACTCATGTCTAGGATTCTACAGGAGGCCAAAAAAAAATTTTTTTCATTAAAATACTGAGTCTTGGGCTTCCGTGGTGGCGCAGTGGTTGAGAGTCAGCCTGCCGATGCAGGGGACACAGGTTCGTGCCCCGGTCCGGGAAGATCCCACATGCCGCGGAACGGCTGGGCCCGTGAGCCATGGCCGCTGAGCCTGTGCGTCCGGAGCCTGTGCTCCGCAACGGGAGAGGCCACAACAGTGAGAGGCCCGCGTACCGCAAAAAAAAAAAAAAATACTGAGTCTTTTTAAGCTTACAGTATTCATTCATTCATCCATCAGACATTTATTGGGCCCCTTGTTTTCAGTGAACTCCAGCTTCAGCACCTCTTGGAAATGCTCTCTGTTCTCCCATGGGCTGCACTGAGAGCCTTTCTCTTGGTCCTGTAACAGCTTCTCGTTACAAGGCTGTGATCATCAACTGTTCATGTCTCCCTGGTTAGACTCTGGGCCTCCAAATACAGGGAGTATGCCTTGTTCAAGGAGCTGGATAGATGGTTGTTGAATAACACCTAAGGCTCTATGCTATCAGGAAACTATACAAATAGAATAGAAAAAAAGACCCCGTTCACAATATCAAAAATCCCTACCAAAATGGAGACGGCCTGTGTAATAAAGACCTGTTGAAAACGAATCCAGACTTTGAGACTTCACACATCAGGAAAGTTTCGAAAATGTATTTTGTCAATTTATGCATATAGAAAACAAAAAATTCCAGGAACAGTCTTTTTATAATGGGGCATCTCAACCCCAAAAAGAGTAGGGCAAGAGGGGCTCACCGGAGGAGAAATAGTTCTTGAAGAGGACTTAGTTTTGTTTTATGGAAGGTCACTGTGTTGTCCCTACTTTCTTCCCGTTGCTGCTGATTCAGTCCACGTGGCGTCACTCAGCAAACAGGCATGTGAGGGCCGCGGGCTGTAAGGAGAGGAGTAAATGGAGAGACAGCCCACGGTTCTGGATGGGAAGGAGCAGAGTGCCAGTTGCTCCCAAACTAATCACTGAGTCCACACAATTCCAATCAAGACCCCTACAAGAAGAGAGTGTGTATCCAAACAAAATGATCCTAGGGTTTACCTTACAAAATAGACAAGAAAGCATGGCTAAGAAAAAAGAAAAAAAAAAAGAGCATACATAGGAACTTCCCTTACTAGATAATAAAACACACATTTTTAAATATTTACAACTGTGATGATGGTAATTAGACTAGGTAAATAGAATGGAAAAGACAGAAAGTTCCGGATTATGTTATGGTGTTAAAAAAAAAAATATATATATATATATATATATATCACCAGTGGCCCCCAAATTTCATTGGCTTAAAAACCACAAAAGCTTTCTCACCCTGCTACGTGTCCATCACTCACTGGCAGGGGGACTCTGCTCACCGCAGTTTCTCGGGCCCCAGAGACTGATCAGCCACCGCAGCAAATGACAGAGGGAAGGAGAGCTGAGACAGCGCCACCCAGTTGCCTCTGGAGTGATGGAGACGGTCCATAGCTGAACGGTCCCATACATGGCCACAGCCACACGGGGCTGTCAGACCCTTGAAATGTGGGTACGGAGACTGAGGAGCTGACTTTTAAATTTTAAATTAGGGGTAAATAGTTACAGGCAGCTAGTGGCTACCAGATTGAGCAGCCCAGAATCTGGAGGGTCTCAGATTAGCAGTTAAAGGCCGGAGAGCAGATGTGCAGTCACTTCTCACAGTCACAGCCAGAACTTGCCGCACAGCTCCACAGAGTCACAAGGGTCAGAAAGAGCTTATCCTCTTCCAAAAGAAGGAGAGCCGGAGATGCTGGCCAAGAACATTTACCCCCACAACAGGGAAGGACTTTGTACGCCTGAAAGCGGTGGAAGAAACCCTAAAGCTTACGCTCGACTACCTAACCCATAAAATATCCCCATGTCCAAAAAAAAAAAAAAAAAAAAAAAAAAAATCACACCCAAATTTAAAGGCCAAATAACAGGGAGACTGTTCTAATTATAGGGTTCCTAAGAATCGATTTTAAGAAAAGACCCAAGCAGAAAAGAAAAATGGGCAAAGGACATAACGGCTAATCCACAGAAATGAAATACTGTACCACTTGCTAATTACTGTAGGATGCAAAAGGTCATCACGCTCAATAGTAAACAACAACAACAACAAAAATGCTAACTTGAAATACCATCATCACCTGTAAAATGAGCAAAGATGTATTTAGTACTCGGTGCTGGTCCAGAGTGTGGTGTGATGGACTTGCTCCTGCACTTGACCTCATCCTTCTGCATCATTAGCCTTAAACATGTCCACACCATTTGCCCCAATAATATTATGTGCAGGGATCTAGTCTAGAGAAATAAGTGATCAGAGAGCTAAGACTTTCATCAAAGCATTATTTATAATATCAAAACACCCGGAGACAACCAAAACATCTGGAGACAACACCTGGATGATTTTTTGGCTAAGTCATCTATATTCATCCAGCACTTTCTGGAAGCTAACAGGGCTTCCTTATGCACCCTTTAAGAATGGGTTTAAAGAATAATACTTAAATTTGGGAGGAAACTGCCAATAGAATCAAGGGACTAAGAACTGCATCTGAGAGTAGATCCCCAATCATGTAAAATATCTATGTATTTTACACATAAGAAACTATAGTTATACATAGGAAAAAGATGAATAACTATGTATGGTTAATTTTTGTTTATTTGTCTATATTTTATTACCTTTTTACATTGAGCATTATTTAAAAACAAAAGTTGTTTTTAAGAGGCGAAGATGATGCCGACTTTCAGTTCTACTAAAAAGGTATTCGTAATAATGGAACTTATTCAGGCATTAAATTAACAACTACCATCGCTTCGATGCTTTTTACCTTAGTCTTTTTCCTTTTATCAAAAGGTAGCTTTTAACTAATTCAGATTCCAGGGAGCTGGGTTTTTCTTCTTTCTCCAGGGGCATAATTTTGTACCTGGTTTAGAGCAGTTCTGGGGACACACCTGCTGACTCCATGGACCCCAAGAGAGCACACTGGCCACCACCGGCCCTTCACTATGACTTTATTACTTCTGCTCACAGCTTACAATCTTTCACAGTTAACAAGGCTGATTGGAAATGGTCCTGGAGCTCACGAAGCTCTCGGGCTATTAAGGGGCCTATAAATCTGCGTAGCTGTGTGCACTGCACCGTGAAGGTTGTGCACGCTGACTACAGTCCAGTCATTTTCCTCAGCTCTTAGGGCTTCCAGGCACTGGCTGCCTGTCCCTATTCTCCTCCCACTGCTCTGACAGCACTTCCCCCACCTGCCTCCTCACCCTCAGCTCTCTACCCTGCAAGTGTTTTCCTGAACTTTCTCATCTATGAACACTACGTGAAGCGACTCTAATTCATCGTCACCACTTCACCTCCTCCCTCCCCTCCAGACCTGGATAGCCAACCACCTAATGGCAGCTCTTCACCTCTGCACAGGATTTCCAGTGCACTTCCTCCTGGGCCCCTGCCTTGGCCAATGGCACCACCATCCCCAACAATGCACCTGAGCTAGAACACTGGGAATTATCCTTAATTCCTCCCCACTCCCCACCCATCCCCACCACCACACTGGATGGTCACCAAATTATACTGATTGTGCCTTCTGAAATTCCTTCACCATCCCCATTACCTCCCTGCCCATTCAGGGGCCCAGCTCGTTGGCCTGTTTACAAGGGTCTCTAGCACGACCCACTGTCCCCGGTGTAGCACATTCTAACCCATCATAGGTGCAGCCAGGACATACTTCAAAGGCTTCCTTCTCACCACGAACACACAGACGAAGTCCAAAGTCCTCACCAGGATACGCAAGGCCATCATTTGACCGCTACCTGTCTTTTCAAGCCCATCTCCTGCTCCAACCCACTCTAGCTCCAGCCATTCCAAGCTCCTCAGCTGGGAGAGCAAGCACTGAGAGGACGGACCGTTACACATATAACCTAAGTATCACCGGTCCCCTCCTTCCTCTGCTCTTGTTTTCAACCCAAACTCACCCTGAAACGTGGCCTGGCATCTCCTACACACTGAAGAATCCACTTGCACAAAACTTTACTGAAGGCTTTACAGGGAGGTACAGAGGGGGTTTTCAACCCACAGTCAGCACCTTACAGATCCTCCTAGAGACATGGCACCTTCAGGGCCCATCACTGCCTGGTGGGAGGGATTTCTTCTTTATTGGCCTCTGCGCATGCGCGGTGGCTTTTCTCATGGTGATTCAGATTTGTTCCAGCTTCTCCCCTCAACACGAGTCCTGAGAATGGGATGTTTTGCTTCCTTGGATCTCGTGATGCTCCTGTGTGTGGGGCCTATGCAGACATCATTTCCTCCTGGGGGAGCCTACCTTGTCTTCCAAGAGACACCCCCCCCCTTCCCCCCGCCCCGAAGGGCCATCTCCAGCAAGACTTTCTTCTTGGGCCATTCTCCCTGCTCCCTCAGCAGCTTACATCTCTCCTGGGGGGTTGAGCACTGTGGGTTGTTGGCTGGCTCCTTATTAATCTCACCCCAGGTCCCTAGACTCCTGGGGGAGTCTGTGTGACAACTTATGTCCCTGGTGCCTTGCCGTGGGCCTGGCTCTTATGGAGTCTTCAAATCCAGGTGGCTTTAGTTAATAAGTCCTGTCTAAACATTATGTGCCAGGAAAAAAAAAAAAAATCTCTACCATTTACATCCAGGATGGCGCTCGGAAGAGGCCTAGAATTTCCTTGGGAATTCCCCAGAACCCACAAGAAAATGAGCTCTGTGAAGGGAGAGAAATTTTCCATCTTGTTCACTGATGTATCCCCAGAGCCTAGAACAGGGCTTGGCACGTAGTAGACGCTCAATACCTATTTGTCAAGAGAATGAGTCTAGGAAAGAAACGCTGCTTCTAAGGAGTGATCTTAAATTTTAAAACCTCCCTTGAACAGCAGGGGGCGCGGGAGAATCGGGCCTGTCCCGGGGGAGGAGGATCGACGGAGTCGCGGAGCCCTCCCTCTCTGCTGCTTTGCTTCCTCCGGCTGGCGTCCTGCTGGAGACCCCTCTAAACACTGCACCTCAGTTTGTTTCTGAGAATCCTGTGGAGGGCTTCACCCCAAGGTCACCAAGCCGTGCACCCGTGCGTTGTCCTTGTTGGAGAGGTTCCCAGGAGGAAGACCTTGGCCTCTGCACTGCTAAATCTCAGTGATCCTGGCTTGTTCGGCCCCGCCGGCACCGCAGCCCCCAGCCCCTGCTCCCTCCC